TCTGGACATGAAAGATAGCTATCACCCCACCCACCATCATGTCCTTGGGATGTGACAAGAAAATTGGCAGCTGTGCGAATTGGAACACAATCATTGTAAGTCTTACCAGAAGCAGCACGGCCACCTAAAGCAAACCAAGTGCCATAAGTAAAGCGAACCCCCAGTTCCCATACCATCCACCACCATTATTTGTGTATCTTCCAAGAATTTCATAGCTTTCTTAATAGAATTCTCAATATCCCTCTTTTTCCTATGTCTTGGCTACAGATTATTGAATAAAACTAAAGCTCAAATTGATGATCTAGTGCATTCTACATACTCATGCTCAACTACGATACCTTCAAAAAACTCTGTAGGGTTCAACACCTAATAATCCAAACAAGCAAATCCATATGCTAAAAGAAATCAAAAGAGAAGGAAAGGAGATTGGAAAAATTGTCATACTTTATTAATATCAAGAGCGAGATCATCCTAATTATAACTAATGAATATCCTGTAACACATGTATTGATTAGTTAGTGTTTAGTGCTTATTACATTCTCTTTAATTATTTTGTTCACTTCAATTCGAATTTAAATGAGATCAGATTCTCACTTCCAACCAATCTCGCCCATGCTGCAAAACCACCTTTTTTATTCTGCAAATGTTATGGAGTTTTGCAAATGAATCAATCCATAAACAAAGCAATGATCCAGAAAAAAAAAAGAATGGCTTTGTCACTGACAAAATCATTGAGAAACACTCTTGAATATGGGAGAAATGTCTCCATCACAAATTTCTGAAGGATAAAGTTTGGAGATGATGTAATTTATTGGAAAGAAGTTCTCTGAAGAGAAAACTTGTGAAAAGTTTTCTATAAGAAAATAATTGTTTTATTGTAATATATTGAACCATAATAATAATAATAATAATAATAATAATAATAATAATAATAATAATAATAATAATAATGTAAGATTACTCACTTGAAGTGACAAGACATTGACGAAATCATGAAGCCTTTCAAGCTCCATCTTTTTGCCTACGATCTCTGGTGGTAGCATTGATAAAAGAAGACAATACTGAAATAGTCCAAAATATATTAAGTGGCCACATGTATAATAAGGTGAAGATGAACAATGAAATTAATTAACTTGTTTAATTAACTTGACTAATCACATTCAGCTTTCTGGAGTGTAATCAGAAACTTGCCATCTATGGTCTTGATCAAAGAAGGTCCATTATGACCCTTTAGAAATGTGACGATACATTTAAAATCACCAGAAGAATTATTCTTAACCTGATAAGATCATCGGTTTTAGTTAGCACCATAAGAGTATTTATGCAATAATATATACACATAATAAATCTCTCAATTAATAAATAGTCATTCAAATATTCATATGCTTGTTAATTGGTAATAACTAGTTGATCTGTGATTTCTTGATGGAGTTATGTCCGTGTGCAAGTGTAGGAACAATTTCATCGCTTAGGATTGTGGCAAGCAAAGTTAGGACGGCAAAACTAACATCCCATGCTTGGCTTCCAAAACTCTGCAAATAATTAATGTCATATACTAATTAAAACCCAAAATATTAATGTTTTACAAAAGTAAAGTATACTATAATGTTATATAATTTTACATTTAGTCATTTAACTCTGACACCATTAGTTTTAAATAATTTTTTTTTTGTGTGGCAGTCATTATTATTTAAAAAAAACTAAACTTAATATGTAACCATTTGAAAATATTTTTTTATTTAAAAGTTCAATTTAAGAATTTTTTTTGTCAATGAAACTAATGGTGTTAGGGTTAAAGGACTACTAAAAAGATAGTTTATAAAATTAATAAACTAAATTGAAAAATTGTGTAAAGTTAAATTAGAGTTGTCAGATTAAGTAAAATGAAAATATGAAGAGATTTATTTGGGAATTGAAACTTTGGGAATACTGTACATGGGAGAAGATAACACACCACATGAAACTATAAAGAATGATACAATTAATACCTCATAGTTAATTTGTTCTCTTCTTGATTAATAATTAGTCGATAATTGCATAGAAGATCCCGATTTATCCTTTTTTTCTAACTATGTTCTTAGAGGTTTACCTGCATGGTAATTCCATCTTCAGAAACCCATATGTAATCAGGAACCCTTGCAAGATGCTTCTTGAAAGCATCTCCATCAGGATCTTCAATCCAACAAGGCTAGCATACATAAAATCTATGATGAATTTAAAAAGAAAGATAAATATAAGATTTAGCATGATGTGGTGCTTGTTTGGACAATGGTAATAATCAACTTTAGAGGCCAAAATTAAAGTTTTGTAAAAATATATCCAAACACTCTTTTTTTATCAACTTATAATATTTTAAAATTAATAATGAATTCAAAACCATAATTTTTCAAAAAAATATATATACAAATATATTTGTATATGTCAAAATCAATTATGAATATAAAACTGTGATTTTGTTAAAAATGTCCAAACACTTTTATACATGACAAAATTAATCATGAACTTAGAACCATAATTTATAAAATAGTTAGATGGTTTTTAGAAATAATTTAGGACAGTATAATTGAAAAGGATAAACTGAAAAATACATAATAATGTGCTTGTTTGGATAAGGAATATAATCAATTTTATGGATATACATCCAAATGTTTAAGAACCATAGTTTTTTGTTCATAATTGATTTTGGCATATAAGAGATATGTTTAAATATATTTTCACAAAATCATAGTTTTATCTAATTTCTTTTCAATTACGCTTAAAATCAATCCTAGATCAATTTTATAAGTCCATTACCACAAAATATAATTAATTATATTCAAAATCAATCATATAAATCAATTTTATTCATAATCAATTTTAGATTGTGAAGGTAATATACATGTACGTAAGACTAAAAATACAATAGATAGTTAAAGTATGAATAATCATCCTATGTAACTTATTCTCTGCAAGTTTTTATACTTTGAATACATAGGTAACATTTGGATCCGTAGTTTTGAATAAAAAATAAAAAAAATAAGAAACACATGATATTAACAAAAAGAACAAGATGAAACAAAATAAAATATAAAAGAATTAAACTTAATCAGAAAGTGAAAGAGGCCAACTTTTAAAGTGGAAAATAGATATATCTTACTAGAATAATAGTTGTTTTAAAAAAAAAGGATATGTGATGTACATAGATAAACATGTAAAAATATGAAATAAAAAGTCGAGTAAATAAACATTTAAATGAATATCATCAAATATTAATAAATCAAAGACACATAATATAAATAACAGAGAGAGTAAATCTTTTTTCGGGGGAGACGATTGCCCCCGGCCACTAGCTTTGTATATAGATATTTATCTACCAATATATATGAAACTTATGCACACAAATACAGTGCAAGATTCACTATTCAAAAGGGAATGAATAAAACCACTTATTGAAAGCCAAGGCTTTCCCCAGGAGAGTGAGTAGGTGGCACCACCATGATCAAGAATCCATTTTCGTGCTCCAAGACAAGCATTGTCTTCATGTCCATCAGGTCCTTCTCCGAGCATTCTCATGCACATATAACTCAGCACAGAACAAAACACGATGCTGTGTCCCTCTATGTGTAGTCCCCACCCTCCATCTTCATTCTTTTAACATGCATGCACTTGTAAAGAATTAGTTCATTTAAAACTTAACCTATCATTGAAAGCAAGTTTTAACAATTGGATGTATGAACTTGGTGATAGTACAGGTATCGAAGGATCTTCTTTCTACAATCTTCTGTAAACACATCGTCAAGATGGCCGGTGATATACATACAAAAAACCTACACCATTTTCAGAAATTTCAAATCATTTAATGATTGTTTAATATAAAAACCAAGTAAAATTTATAGCTTGTGACCTAAATTTAAAATTATATTATTATTCTTATCATCATATAAGTTCTTTTAGAAAAAAATTGTTTCAATTTATCTATGTACTTTTAGAAGTCTACAGCAACATTTAATAACATTTATTCTTTTTTTTTCCTTTTTATTGCTCACAAATATTTTCTTTTTAGGTGTGGTTTGTGAATTTGGTCTATAGTGATGGACAACAACAATTGCCTATAGCTATAGGTAACTGTCAGGCAACGGTTTTGAAGCATGGAATATGCTCGCGTTACTTGAAGTTTAAGGAAACGGTATTTTTTTACAATCTATAGCAATGAAAGACAAAACTGTTGCCGTATAATAGCCACTTAATGAATCCACCATGAGATCGATTCAATGAACTGAGGAAACTATGATGAGAGCTGCGTCTAGAGAACCCACCACAAGACTTATGGTGAGACTCCCTCAAGAAACCAAATGAACCCACCACATGACTTGGGGCGAGAGAATCTAGTGAACCAGCTGATGATGAGCTTGGATGACTTCTAGGCCTTCTTCGATTTAGACTAGCAATGGGTTTGGGCAAAGGGAAATGGCTATTTGGAAATTTGCGTTTCACACGATCAAAAGGGATCCAGAGGATCTAGGTTTAGTTTATTTTAATTTAATTCATAGATAAATAAATCATGAAATGGAATAAAATAAGAAATGAAACGATTCCATAGAAAAAAAAAAGTGATCACGGTAAAGGGAAAATAATATAGGGAACAGGATGCAATTGTTGTCCAAGTATAAATTAAATAAACAACACAAAGTAAATGTTGTTGGCTTTCTTGAGAAAAGTTTGCAACATGGGTAAATCTGCAACATTTATTACATGTTGTTTCCTGTCTATTGCTTAATATTCCTGCCAAATAATATAGTAAAATAAATGTTACCTATTATGGAAATAGGCAACACTTTTTTACCTATTGCAAAGTAACTATTGCTATAGTCTTGAAATGTTACAGTGATTTTTGGCTTGTGCACTAGGTACATCCAAAGATTTTATATGAACATGCAAAGTTCTTACAAACACATTATAATATAATGCTTTCAAAATAAACTTATGAGTGCTTTTAAAAAGGGGTCTCTCTAATGTTCATGAAATTCAACGATTATGTTTATTAAAATGTCTGCACGGCATAATGAGATATACTTTAGGGTTCAACTTCATAAGTTTTCAAAGGCACTAACTTCAGAGTATGTGATGAACACTCTAATGAGGACTTGTGCGTGCATTTCGCTTCACACACACACACATTATAATTTATTGAACTTTAGAGTGCAAGCTGGTAACGCGCCTGCGATATTCTGCGAGAGCCCAAAGTGGATAAATATTTCTGTACATTGGATAATGTAGCATGCAATTCTTCATGAATACCCCAGTAATTTCCTGAAAATTAAATTAACTATCAAGCATTATTCAATTTCACCACTAATTCATTGTTAAATTGTAGGGTTAAAATGTAAAAAAAATCTAAGAACTTGTCAAGAGCATCTAATATCCTTAATTCAACAAAGATGTTGGAGTACCTATCAATACTTTTTAATGAGGGCATTCTTCCTCGAATCTTTAAAATGGCTTAAAATCCATAAACATGGACCCTTGATGCTGGGTTAATGAGCACAAATATTCAGAATATTTTTTTTCTCCAAGAACTTTTGGTGGTATTCTTATTTATAGTATTTTTATACTTTACATTTACTTCCTTTTTTTAAAACAATCAATGTTAATGGACATCAAGAAATTTTAATAGGATGGAAAAGGATGCTCTTACTAAAAAAGTTTATGAATATCCATTCACTATTGTTGATTATAGAATACTAGATACCCCTGGCAAAAAAATGGTCTTATAAATTTTTTCCTTTTAACCTTAAATTAAATTAAGTGTAATAAAGTAATATTCCAAATGAATATATTGAATAAGATACGCACTTGTTGCGGCCAATCTCCATTCTCTAACTGAGCATTGATTAGGACTCTTGCTCCACGATGAAGAGGTGTTGGATCTCTCTCAGCCTCCAATTGACAAAATTTGATTTTAGGTTTTTTTTGGGATTAAATACCATCATAAATAAGTACAAATTGCAACTCACATTAAATATTTAAATCAAATTACCTGTCCAGCATGCATTAAACCCATCATAGCCCATGCTGTATGTACCACATTTGATCTGTTGCCTTCAAGTGAAATATATTTCTGTACATTTATAAAAGCCTCATAGTTATAAAAAGCATAATATGGAGAAATTAAGTGGGCACCAAATTATATAAATTAATGCTAAAATGAACTCGTTTCTTTCTAATAATTACGTGAAATAGGAAAAATGAGTCCATTAATAAATTAATCATCAATCAATAGATACATACATAAAAACTAGTTGAAATTTAAAAACTACACCAATTTTTTAAGGACAAAAAATAAAAGCCCAACCAAACAAGCTCTAAATCACACAATTTATAGACCTGTGAATGCTACTTTTAGTAGGTGATATGTGGTTATATAAATATAATTATATACAAATTGATAATTAATTCATAATGATTTACCTTTTTGGGACTTGAAAGATAGCTCTCTCCCCAGCCACCATCATCACCTTGTGCAGCGAGAAGAAAATTCACAGCTTTGCGAATGGCAACACAATCATTGTAAGTCTTACCAAAAGCAGCAAGGCCACCTAATGCAAACCAAGTGCCATAAGTAAAGCAAACCCCCCAGTTCCCATACCATCCACCATCCTCTATTTGTGTTTCTTCAATGAATCTCACAGCTTTCTCTATGAAACTCTCAATCTCTTTCTTCCTATGTCCTGGATATAGCTTTGTGAACAACATTAAAGCTTGAATTGCTGACCCTGTGCATTCTACATATTCATGTTCAACTACAATGTCTTGGAAAAATTCTGTCGGATTCAGCACCTGATGATCATAATTAATCCATACATTAAGTCTTAATCTCTATTTTTTTTAATTTGTTCCACTCAGCTGATAGTAATAAGATATCATTCTTACTTCCAACCAATCATAAGCTTTAACTGGCTCCCATGCAGCTAAACCGCCCTTTTTACTCTGCAAATATGAGAATTCAGGAGTTATAAATCTCTACTTTGAATGTAAAATCTAACTAACATATTAAATAAGGATATAGTATATTGATAAAGAAACTAAACAAGATATAAGATAAAATTGCATGCTTAAGCTAGCCATAATCAACATATTGTCTTCTTCTCTATACCGTTTGAGAGTTATGTAGCTTTTGGTGGGGAATGATATACTAAGTTAGGGTCAGCGAGGGGACCTAACCTATTTAATAATCCTTATTAGATTCGCTAACTGTAGGCTTTAGTAAAGTTAATGGCCAACACTTTAAATGTTAAGTTGGCTCAATAAATTGTGTTAGACCATTAAATATATATATATATATATATATTATCACATAACATATTGGGCTTTAATATTTCATGGACTACTAGTTAACCTGTTCTAACAAACTAACGAAATAATTAATGTGAACCTAAAGCATAAATTTCAAACACTAAATCATGAGAAATTTGTTTGAGAAAATCTTTGTTTTATTATAATTAATGAACCATCATTATAATATGAAATTACTCACTTGAAGTGACAATAGGATGTTGACAGAATCATAAAGTCTTTCAGGTTCCATCTTTTCACCTACAATCTCTGGTGGTAGCATTGATAAAAGAAGACAACACTGAAATAGTCCAAAATATATTTAAAGAAAACATATTAAGGTGAAGATAAACAATGAAATTAATTGACTTTTATAATTAAGTAAAATAGGTTATTCACTTTCAAGCCTTCTGCAGTGCAATCTGAAACTTGCCATCCATGGTCTTGATCAGAGAAAGTCCATGACCCTTTGGAAATGTGACGATACATACTTTTGAAATCACCAGAAGGATTGTCCTTAACCTGATAAGATCATCATCATTAGTTCCATATATAGTTAATTAGTCATTTGAAATTTCAAATATTCATATGCTTGTTAATAAATTGGTAATAACAAGTTGACCTGAGACTTCTTGATGAAGTCATGTCCAGCTGCAAGTGTAGGAGCAATTTCGTCAACTAGGTTTGTGGCAAGCTTGAACAGCAAAGCTAGCATCCCATTCTTGGCTTCCAAAACTCTAATTAATGGTGATTAATGGCATATATTAAATATGAAACCCAAAATATTTTGCTTTATTAATAATTAAATTAGAGTAATTGCTAAATTGAGAAAAATGAAGAGAATTATTAGGAACTCGAACCTCTAGAAATATTGTTCATGGAGAAGATAAAACAACACATTAATAAAAGATAATTTACAATTAATTTGTTCTCGATTAATAATTAGTTGATGATTGCATGGAATTAAGATCATGATTTAGTTTTTTTTTTAATTATTGTGCTCTTTCCTAGTTTACCTGCATGGTAATTCCATCTTCTGATACCCAGATATAATCAGGAACCCTTGCAAGATGCTTCTTAAAAGCATCTCCATTTGGATCTTCAACCCAACAAGCAAGCATACACAAGCACTGGGGCAAATGTAAAATGGAGATTAAAAATTGTTTAGAACTATGCTCAAACCAAAATCAATTATCAAATTCCTGTCACTAGGTCATCCTTGAATAGCTAGATGCTAAGTTAGGGTCAAATGTAACTTGGCAGTACATTTTGACCTTTGAATACCTTGATAAAATATAGAGTACCTTTTCAACACATCCAATTGTTATATATCGACTATTTTCATCTTCATAGTGAATATGCTTCATTGTTACTTGAAGAGCTTTCTCTCTCACCAACTTATTGAAGGGCCATCGAGTAAGAAGTGGCTCAGTGAATATATATAAACTATCCCATATCAAATCTTGTATCAAGGGATGAGGATAGTAAAGATCTTCCTGTAATGATATATTCAACTACAATATATTATAATTTTTCATTGGGATAAATCAACTGGTGTGTGTGTGTGTGTGTGTGGTGATAAATCAGAGACAAAAAAACTCACCTTTGCACAAAGGCGACGAGCTTTATTCCAATTAATTTCATGGTAAGGATCAACATGGAGTTCTTGTCTGAGTTGAAGAATAAGTGGTGTGATCGCACCCACAAATCTTTTCCCATACAAATAAGACATGGGCATGTAAACCAAGCGGCAATAACACCACATTTTAGCTGCATTACAATACGGTGGAAGAGAATTAATGGAGGATTATTAGATAGACATGGCAATAGATAGAGTTAAGAAAGTGATCATAATGCAATATCTAATATGTATGTATAGGAAGAGTTCTAAATTTTTTTATCACTTTCTCCGCCTTTTAATTTTTCATTTAATCTCAATTTGTTTCTTAATTTTATTCTAAGTTTTAATTTTATCTCTTAATTTTATCTTTCTAAATTCCTTTTCAACAATTTTTAATTTTACTTTATTTTATTTAATTTTTAGACAAATTGATTTGACTGTGTTAGAGAGGACTGGGGAAAACATTTGAGTGACTTTTGAAATTTGAGAGTAGATGGGGTCAAATTAAAATGAAAATAACTAGATAATTAAATCAAATGACTGAGAAGAAATTTAAACAAAAAAATTAATGCCACATCTGATAATTTTCATACTGAAAGTAGGATATTTTCTGGCTAAAGGAGTTGAATGAAGATCTTAAGACCAAAATAAAGGAACAAACGAACCATAAGTTATGATGAGGCATAAGTGCCGTTTCCAAAAGTTTCAGGTCTCTCTCTAAGTCCAGTTACCAAAAATTTACCCAAAAAATTACAAATTCCTTGGGATCTCTCGAGTTATTTGTCAAAGTTTTCGTCCTGATCATAAAATGGAGTTAATTAAGCCTTGAAACGACTTTTCTATATGGTTATGAATTTTCAAGGTCATCAAAAAGTCTAGAATTACCTATGAACAGTAATCTGATAACATATTTTGCAATTTATAAGAGAGTTTTGGTTCTTCTAAGGGTTGCAAAGGCTCAAATTGGTTCTTTATAAGTCTTCAATGTATAAATCAAGCATGAAAGATGAGATGTGTCAATATTAGAACTAATATAAACGTAGCTGAGGAATTGAAATATAGCTTCAAGTAAAATTAAGGAACTAAATTGATATTACATGAAATTAAAAAAAAAACTTAAAACTTCAAATATAAAATTGATATTACATCTTATCCATGAATGCATTGAATTAACCTGGATGCACTGGAAGAAACGATGGAATAAGCCAAAACTCTGGTGGCATTGGATTTGTTCCAGACCAGTCAAACAATCCAAGTATCTACAATAACATATCAACAATGAGACGTAAGCAATTAAATTAAATTGAGGGATATTTGTTTATATATTACAAGCTGCAATATTCACATGTTGCTTGTAATTATTATGGCTTTCTCTCTCAAACCATGAGCAGCATAATAATGGAACCAAAATTTTAGATTGTGAAGGTAATGTACATAAGATTAAAAATACAACAGATAGTTAACGTATGAATAATCATCCTATCTCTGCAAGTTTTGAATTTTGATTTTATATTTAAAAGCTCAATTTAAAATTCATTTATTTACCAACAATCATGTAGCTCAACTAATAAGAGGCCATGATAGTTTAACAAGTGGTTTTGAGTTTGAGTCTTTTGCGTTAAAAACTCATTGGGAGAACTTTGCCGCCAATATGGTCTTACTCAGCTTGACCCATGAATAGTAGGTAATTGCAAAAACAAAAACAAAAATTCATATATTTAAAATTATTTATTTAGGTAATATAAAAAATTTGAAGTTCAAAGACAATGAAAAGAGGGACATGGAAAATGAAAACTGGAAGAGAACAGGAGGCATTTCAAACACTAGGGTGTATGAAGGATTTATAATTATAAAGGAGTTATAAATAAAATATAGACTTGGATTCAAATCAAAATCCATAAATTTTCATCTATCCAAATGATGGATTTCATGTCCTAAATTCAAATCCAAATTTAAATTAAATCATCCAAACACAATACACAAGATTTTTTCCTTTAAATTAAATTATGATGCTGTTATTATGATGCTGATTTTCGAATGAGAAAATTTTCAGAGCAAAGTTAAATACCTACACACACTCAAAATTCAAATATTGTAATTTTTTTTTAATAAACCTGAGTTCATGTAAGGTTTTAACAGTTTTATTGTCTAAAAATAATTGTAGAATGAATATAAGGATAAGTAAAATAATACATCCTTATTTAATGTTATTAGATGTTAACTAAAAGAAGCTGAAAGAGAGAGAATGAGATGTTAGGACATGAAAGAGAGAATAAGAAAATAAAAAATAAGAAACACATGATATTAACAAAAAGAACAAGATGAAACAAAATAAAATATAAAAAAATTTAAACTTAATCAGAAAGCGAAAGAGGCCAACTTTTAAAGTGGAAAATAGATATATCTTACTAGAATAATAGTTGTTTAAAAAAAAGGATATGTGATGTACATAGATAAACATGTAAAAATATGAAATAAAAAGTCGAGTAAATTAACATTTTAATGAATATCATCAAATATTAATAAATCAAAGACATATTATATATATAAATAACACAGTGAGTAAGGGCTTGTTTGTTTTCTATTTTTAAAATTTTTTCGTTTTTTTTTGAAAATAGAAAATTTTCAAAATTTGTTCGGATAATTATTTTTTTAGTTGTTTTCAAAACTGTTTTCATTTTTTATTTTTAAAAATAAAAAATAGAAATAATGTCAACTTATTTTTTTATTTTTCTTATTTTTAAAACACACTACATTTAGTTATTGAAAATTATAGTTATTTTGACCAATTTTTATTATTAATTACCACCATTAACTGCTTATAACCATTACTATTAGTCTATTTTTTAATTTTAAAAATATTTTTTAATTGACATAACTAAACAATTTTTTATTTTATTTTGTTTTAAAAGCAATTTTAAAAACATTTTATAAAAACAAAAAATGAGGATAGAAATCAAACATGCCCTAAATCTTCTCTCGGGGGACGATTTCCCCTAGCCACTAGCTTTGTGTGTGTGTGTGTGTCTAGCAATATATATGAAACATTACACGCACAAATACAGTGCAGGATTCACTATTCGAAAGGGAATGAATAAAATTACTTACTGAAAGCCAAGTCTTTCCCCATGAGGGTATATAGGTGGCACCACCGTGATCAAGAATCCATTTTCGTGCTCTAAGACAGGCATTGTCTTCACCTCCATCAGGTCCTTCTCCGAGCATTCTCATGCATATATAACTCAGCACAGTACAAAACATGATGCTGTGTCCCTGTATGTGTAGTCCCCATCCTCCATCTTCATTCTTTAACATGCATGCACTTGTAAAGCATTAGTTCATTTAAAATTACAATTATAAACGTATCATTGAAAGTTTAACAAGTAAATGTATGAACCTGGTGATAGTACAGATATCGAAGGATCTCTTTTCTATACTCTTCCGGGAACACATCATCAAGATGGCCAGTGATATACATACAAAAGACCTACACCATTTTCAGTAATTTGAAATCATTTAATAATTATTTTATATAACAACCAAGTAAAATTTATGTCTTTTTTAGAAGCCTTTTTTTTTATTTTTAACATAGATCTTTTTATTGGAGGTAATCATACTCGAAATACAGTCGAACATTAAATGCAAGCACCTTTTCTAATAGGAATTTGAATCCTAGCTTGGTTCACTACATTATGATTATATGTTGACATTTTTCTCTAGGATTAATAGGCAAAAATACCCGAAAACTTTTTTGTGAGGAACATTTAGTATTCTAAACTTTGATGGGTTGAGGGGCAAAAATGCCTTAAAAATTTTCTAAAAGGAGCATAGAGCATCCTTACTTTTTAGTTTGAGCACTTTTTAGTTGGAGCAATTTTATTCCAGAACTTTCAAAAAAAGAGTCATTTTGCCATACCGTTAACCTAACTAATTGTTGACCATAAATTTTACTTTTGACTAACAAATTTACATGTGTAGCCTTCCCCTACCTCTTGCCACCTATTCTCTTTCTTAATCTTCATCCTTAGGTTCCAAACAAGAAAAACATAGAGAGATCAATGATGAACATCCTCCTCACTACTCTCCTTTTCCTCATTATCCCTATCATCCTCTTTCTCCCAAGATCAAGTAAACAATCATCATCATCAATAAGAAGAAAAGTCCCTCTTGGTGTCAAAGCTGAACCACAAATCCCACAACAAAAATTACCACGGTGAACTAATGATAACAAATACCACCTAGAAAATAGGAGAGACAATATAACTAAGGAAATTAACTTTTGGGAGCACATTCCGTGCTTATCAAGCGTGCTCATCACCCCTAAAATAATTTGGACCATCTAGATTTAGTCAAGACAGTCCAAATTAAACTACTTTTTTATTTTTTATTTTTTAAATAAAAGTTTATAAAATTTAAAATAAATACATTTATTAATTATTACTAACCTGTATCATTCATATTCAATCAGATGATTCCAAATTTATTATTAATTTTTATAATTTTTGGTAAATTGATCATACAAGTTTAACTTGTACTATCTAGATTCAAAACAGTTTAGAATAAATCTATATCATTAATTTATAAAAATGATAAAAAATTTAATATTAAATTTAGACAGATCTAATTAAATGTGAATGGTACATGTTAATAATAAATATATCTATTTAAAATTTCGTAAAGTTTTATTTTAAAAAAATATAAAAAATTAAAAATAAGTAGTTTAATTTAAATGGTCCAGATTGTTTCAAGGGTGATAAGCACATGTGCTCCCACTAACTTCTCAACCACAAAAAAGGAAGACATAGATTTTTGGATAATAGCGAGTAAGACAAACATCAGTATCAGTATTACCTTCGAGAAAGAGCAGTGATTTTGGTTCTGGTGAATTGATTTGCAGGGAAAATATATTATAAATAACACAAAAATGTGCTGACCTATTTTATTTTAACAAATGTTCTCCAGGATTGAGAAGCAGAGATTGTAGGAGACAACACTGGAGGGTAGAAAGAGGAGGATGGGAAATGAGGTGGGAGACGGCGGAGATGAGAGCGTCCATAGCCTGCTTGACTTTGAGGCAAAATATGACGAGGAGAAGAAGCTATAAAAATGGTCACAAAAATTAGACATATGTGATTCTCAATTTATACCATCTTCACTGCTGGTTTTCTTCTTGTTCGTCTTGGTCACCATGGTTGTCTTCGCACTCCTCTCCTTCTCTAGTTTCTCAAAGTTGTCATGATCATCGTCCCCAATCTTGTCGATGCCTTCTCCGAGAGATGATGAGTTGGAGCAAACAGAGATGGCCAAGATTGTGGGATTCTCGTCTCCGACCACAATGACGAGAATCTTCTCCTTGAGAACCTTGATAGTCTCCTCGTTGGTCGAGTTAGCTTTGTTTCTAGGTATCACCTCTCTCCAAGTCTTGGTCAGATCCTTCTTCGCTTTGCAAGAAACTAGAAAGTCTCTAGTGAGAGAAAGAGGAGGAGGAGGAATGGCAGCGGCGGCGACCCGGAACAGCGAGGGAGATGGAAAGGGATGAAGAAGAAGAAGAAGAAGACGAACGATATATTAGGAGGAAGAGGGGGTGGGAGAGTGGAAGAGATAAGGCAAGATGAGAAGTCAGTCTTTTTTGGTCAAAATGTAACATTTAATGTCAAAGTTAGTAGAGATTAATCGCATGACAAAATTGCTTCATTTTTTAAAATTTTGAGATAAAATTACTTCAACTAAAAGATAAGAATACCCCATGTTCCTTTTAAAAAAATACTTTTCGACCCCTTAACCGAACCTTCATTTGAAGTAATTTTACTTCAGGATTTTCAAAAAGTATAACATCGGCCAACCATTGAGGCTAGCTGACTGTTAATTTGAATTTATTTTTCACGTCACAAGCAACATGTCATTTTAAAAAAAAATTGAAAAATAAAAACTAATACATGTGTAGCCATTTCTCAACACTCCACACCCACGGAAGGCCACTGCCCTGTGTCTCTACTCCCTTGGCCTTCCAGATGGACGACGAAACTTCTCAGATCTTCAACAAGTTTGACATTAACGACGACGGTAAGATCTCCAGCACTGACCTCAAGAAGATGTTGTATACACTTGACGCCAAAACGACGTCAAATGAAATCAAGCGCATCATGGCCAAGCTCGACAAGAACGGCGACAGCTACATTATTCATGCATATATATATATATATATATTAAACTTCATTAAGAATAACCACTTAGTAGTCTCATATAAAGTGCATTAGATATTTAAGCCGCTTACAGCGATTTTTTTTTTTTTTTTGCACAATGGGCACAGGGTCTCTCCCTTTCATTTTTATACTTTTTCTCTCCATTTCCTCGATCCTGACCATTCAATCTGTGTAGCTCTTATCTGATCATTCAAAATGCCAGCTATAATCTAATACTATCACTATCTAAACAATATGCCCTAAAAAAATGTTTTCGTTCGTATATTAAAAAAAGATTTTTTAATTAAAATATGACAGCGTTATTTTTAAAAATATAAATGCTACTACATTTTTTCAGACTATTTAATTCAAAATTTTATTCTTGTGTTTCAAATTAAAATTATTATGAATTTAACCATTGATGCTTGTTTTTATCCTTGTTGTGTATTATTTATAAATAAAAAATATTAAAAATGGGGATAATATTAATTTATGTATAAATATATTATTAAAAAGATTTAAAAATATTATTTATAAATTTTAAAAACTTCCTAACAAAAAAAAAAACTAAAAACTGTTTCAGTGAGTACTGAGTAAACCAATTTTTACGTTCTTCTGATGCGATGTTCTTTCGATAACGTATGTTCCTGCGTTTTCCACTTGTCCTACTTGCAAACTTCATTTTAATTTTAGGTAACATACTGATTCAAATTTACAAATAATATATACACACACATTAATATTTTCCCCGCTGAAACAGTTTTAAAGTTATAAATTGATTGGAAAACGTCAAAATTTGTTCTACTCACGAAAAAATATTTTAATTTTTTGGTAGAAACTTTTTTTAAATTTATAAATAAATTTTAAATAATATATATATACATTAATATTTTTTCATTTTTAATATTTTTATTTATAAATAATACAATAAAGATAAAAATAATGACTAAATCCATAATAATTTTAATTTGAAACACAAGAATAAAATTTTAAATTAAATAGTTTGAAGAAATGTAATAGAATTTTTTTAAATATAACACTATTTTAATAAAAAAATTTCAAGACAGTTTTTTAGGACAAATCGTTTAGGTAATAATTAGATTTATACCCGTGTAATGCACGAGAATGCCATAACTTTAAAAAATAAAAACAAAATAAATATTAAAAATTTATTTTAGTAATATTAAAATAAAATATATTTCTTTCTCTTTTATTTTAAGAGTAACAAAGTATAAACATAATTTTTATTTTTAAGTTTTTATTTTCATTAATTTAACCATTAATTGATAGTTGTTGGACTAAAATACCATTCTTGATATATTATTTTAAATTTTTATTCATATTTTACATTTATTAGTTATATAAACTTTTTTATTTAGTATTTTTTATTAGTTATATTTTAGTATTATTAAAATAAAATATATTGCTTTCTCTTTTATTTTAAGAGTGACAAAGTATAAACATACTTTTTATTTTTAAGCTTTCATTTTCATTCATTTAACCATTAATTGATAGTTGTTGGACTAAAATACCATTCTTGATATATTGTTTTAAATTTTTATTCATATTTTACATTTATTAGTTATATAAAATTTTTCATTTAGTATTTTTTTAAAAAAATTAAATACACACTCCCTCATTACAAAAATTTGAGACAGTTTTAACTGAATCTCACCTCTCAATAAAGTAGTTACTTGTTTTCTAACTAACACAATCTTTTTCATGTTTATTCCTATTCAATAAAGTGTTTCAAAAAATAATATAAAGTAACTTATTCATTAGGGGAACTTTTTAAAAAAATACAATAATTACATCTTGAAACATTAAAACTATCTTATATTTTTTAGTATCCAACCTCTCAAAAAATACTTTACATTTCTTAACAAAAAGAGTACATTTGCTAAAATAATATGTCAAACATGTGTGCAGAAAAAAAATTTATGAAATAAGAGATAGATTAGTCAATATAATTTATGTTTATATGTCCATTTAAATTTTATAATTTTCTCAAAATATTTTTAAATGATTGTCATACTTAATTGTTTAAAGTTTCTTTTTTGGAAAAAATTGTTTAAAGTTTCTTAAATTATAAAGCGAGATGATAGACAAATAGATTATAGGAGTAAATTAATAATTTAAAATTTTTCAATATAAATACAAATAATAAATTAAATTTTTTATAATAGTTAACATAATATTCCTAATGATGTTAAAAATAAGACTAAAGTGTAAGTTTTGAAAATTTAAAAAGAAGTACTATAATGAATCATACTACAATTTATGTCAAAATATTATTTATAAATCATAACTATAATGGTTGTAAATCAAGAAAATAGTATAATCTATGTTATAACATCATTTGTCTATCATATATACAAGAGTATTACATCAATTAAGAAAGCATTATAAGTAATATAGTGGTTCTTAATAAAAAATTAGGTGTGTAGTGTAAGATAAATTCATTAACATTATATAATTAACTTGAGGCCCATAATTTTTTTTTGTTCAAACTTGAAACACATAATTACATCAATGTTTTTCATAGGTTTTCAAATCATAATCTACTTTTACATATAATTAATAGAATAATAGATTTTATACCTTATGAATTGGAAGAATATAAATAAAAACTTGTTTTATATACTCTCATACAAATGATTTTATGATTTGTTACCATATGTTAATAATAAATATATAGTAAATTATTTTTATCTAAATCATATTATTATCTCCATATAAATTTCAGTGCATATCTAACACTTACTATTTTTACTAAGAATCTTATATCCATATTCAATTTTTACTATAGATCCTATATGATCTTTTAAAATATAAAAATTTTATTATTTTTTACATTTTGTCTAAAATTTTAACATTTACAAATGTAGGTTCCATCTCCACATTTTTTAATGATAGATCCTATATCCACTTTTTTTTTTTTTTTACCATAAGTCCCACAACTATATATATAATTCACCAATTCTCTTTATAAGTTATTTCTACTAATTATATCAATACCAATGTAAAAAAATATAAGAAATAAAAGTGTGTAGAATTTCAAATATGTGTTTATATAACAAATTTAAAAAACGATGTCATGTTATTTTTTCTCTCTCATGAAAGGTAATTTTGAAAATACTTTTAAATATTACCTAAAATGCTATACCATGATTTATAAATAGGACTAAATGAACTTTTTAAAATATGCCTTATAAAAGGGATTGGAGGGAGTATATATTATTTTTTTAACAAAATCATCCATTAACTAATTTTTTTAAAAGTTAGAATTTTAAATTAATTACTAATTTAAATTTACTAATTAAATTATAAGTCCCACACCACTTTTTTACCATTAATAATTTCTTTGTATATCCAACACTTATTATTTTTACTAAGAATCTTATATTCATCGTCAATTTTTACTAATTCTACATGATCTTTTAAAATATAAAAATCTTATTATTTTTATATTTTATCTAAAATTTTAAAATTTACAAATATAGTTCCCACTCTCACAATTTTTAATGACAAGTCCCACTCTCACTTTTTTATTATAGGTCCCACATCTACTTTTTATAAACAAAATCATTCATTAACAGAACTTAAAAAAAAAAAGCAGAGAAGAGCATTATTTTGACATGCTTTACAATATATATATATATATATATATTGATGGTATTAAATTACAGCTGATACTTTAATTTGGATGGTGAGATAAGAGCCACACAGATTGCACGGTTAAAATTAAGGAAATAGGGAGAAAAAAAGAGGAGAAAAGGGAAAGGGGGAGACATGCGCCCGATCTTAATGTTACAGATGGCATGCAACCATACGCTGGGCACCGTAACACTATTGAATAACTCAGGCTTGAGAAGAAAATTAGGAACAGAGCAACAGAAACAAATATCATAGAAGGAGCCATCGCGACGAAGGTTGATAAAGGGTTTGGCTTCCATCTTCGGTGCTCATCAGGATGAAGAGCACCATAGCACTAGGGTGCTCATAAGCATGATAAAATATGGACCAACCAAATAATTTAATTTACTTGGTCCAAGTTTTAAGTTTTAAATTTATATGTATATTTTATATTTAATTAAAAAAAATTAAAAAATTATTAAATATGCTCATTAGCAATCAAACAGTCTTAATTTTATTTGGATTGTCTGATTTTAATATAAATTTTTTTATAATTTTATAGATTGACTATCTAAATTTACTTTGGATAGTTCCAATTTAAAATTTTCAACTAACAAATTTTTTTAAAAATTTTTTTAGAAGTACTAGTTAAGATATTATCTTTATTTTTAATATTATATTTATTAAAATTAAAAATTATAAAAAAATTAATTTTAAATCTATACTGTCTAGAATATATTTGAATAAATAATTTATACAAATTATAAAAATATTATAATCAAATTGGATTAAATAGATTAAAGTTGCACAATCCTGACTAATGAAAAATTATTTGTAAATTTTTATTTTAACAAATATAAAAATAAAAATTAATAACAATTCAAATCTATGGTCCATATATCAATAAGGTGATGAACACTATAGATAGACCTGACTGCGAACATAAGAGATGACTAGAGGAAGAAGTGGAGAAATGGCCACTTGTATTAGTTTTTTTTTTTTCCTTTTAAATTTTAGACACCTAGAAAATAAAGTCAAATTAACAGTCAACTAACTTCAACATTGACAGTAGGGTAGTATTGCATTCTTTTTTAATATTTTGGGACCTCAAAAAGAATTTTAAAATATCAGGCACTCTCGACAGAAAAGTTTCAAGATATTTTTGTTCTTTAACCTTTTTTTCTATTACATCCTTAATTATGAATAATGTGAAAATATTTAAATGCATTAAATTAAGGGAAATTAAAATTTTATGGTAACGCAGTTAATATTTTCATGTATTAATTGCATTTACTAATCTATATGTTAAAATAGCTTATATTTTGAAATGGGGGGAATAGAATATTATATGAGTTCCACTCACCTCATATTTATATGTCTATCTCTTTAATTATAATATATATATATATGTGTGCGCGCGCGCGCGCGCGTGCGCGTGCCAGTTGCCTTGTGCCATAAGTGGCACCATTCTCACCCTGCAGAATGCACAGTGTGGGTTTGAGCCCATAGTGGCTCTGTGTGTGTGAGTTTCCTTCCATGGAGAAGGAGTTGACTAAATACACACACACAGTACTTAGCAATACAAAAGCAATACATGATCACTTTTGGAAATTTATATCCATGATAGAGTCAACAATAAGGGCGGCTAGATAGAATATCCTTTTAGGTCTTGTATTTTTTCAAGGAATAGACTTAAAAAGATAGAACATTTTAATATAAAAAACGCTTTTAAGCCTTAATTTTATAAGCTTTGCAAAAATAGGGCTCAAGCCCTAGCTTGCCCTTAAACTCTTATAATTTGTTAACTCTATTTATATAATTTATTTAAAATTTTAAATTAATATTATAATAATAACACAATTTGTTAAATATTTATTTTACATGAAAATGAAGTTGTTGAAATAGCACCACTTTATCTAAGTAGACCCTCCTCTAACGGCTTAATGTTTTGTTTAATTACTCACATATATTCTCCTACTAAAGGCAGTGCTGTTCTAGACACAAAAGAGTCTAATTTTTTTCATTTTTGAATGAAGATTGATGATAATAAGGATAAAAAAATATTTATATTTTGGATGATGAATAATTCGAACTTGGATGTTTTATATTATTCTAGGGTATGCATTATTTTAGTTATATTTCAAAGCTTATTATGATCTTTTATATATTTAATTAAGGTATTTTATAATGTATATATAAATTAGTATAATTAGAAATTTTATTTTAAAAAAAGTTATGTAGGATTTTGGGCCCACCCTGAGCCTTGTTAATAAAGATCAAGCTTTTCTTAATATAAGAAAGTTTATAAGCGTGAACTTTTAAGAGTCAGGTTTATAAGAATCAAACTTGTAAGAATTGAGTAAGTTCTTATTGATAGCTGTTAATTGCATGATAGGTGCTTACCAGAGGTTGCATGAAATAGAGACATCCAGCAATTTGAGCAGGCCAATGACCATGTTTTGACTGTAAAGCCGATAGATAATGTGTTGCCCTTCTTACAGTATTACCAACTTTTTCATCACTTATTTCCTCCCCATTCTCTATCTTCACACTCGGTATTGTTTGTTTGAACTTCTTCTCCCTCAAAAACTGTATTAAAAAAAAATCAACATTAGTTAGCCTTAGCCTTAGGAGGCGATCGAAATTAACTAAAATACTGCAAGTATACGAATATGGATTCAAGTTTCAACATTATTCTTCACATACAACAATATTCCATCAACAGCTTATTTAATGGAACGACAAAATGTCATGATCACCAATCCTAATAGACATTATATTTAAATGGACTCTTATTAATATTGGTCCAGTTCGTGATACAAACAAGAACTGATGGAAAGAGAATAGTACTATTGAAGGTGAGACCAATAATTTACGTAGGTTCTATGAAGCTGTTTATGTCGCTTAAAGAAGAGAAAGATATTAAACGCATAGACTATCCATTACTGACATTGATTGCATAAAAAAATAAAATAAAATGAAAAAATGAGGGAATTGAAAAAGACATGAAAAACACTAATCACCCTTTGAAGTTAGGACTTGGCTTCCCCGAAAGAAACTTTCTCCGCACCTCCGCTGAGGCAAGTTTATATTTGAACCATTTAAAAGTAAATTTGGATAGTCTAAATTTAATATTTTATATAAATTGTCAAAAAAAAATTAATAAATCTGTTCAGCAGTTTGAGTAGTTCAGATTTAGTATCAATGGTCCACATTTAATATTTAAATTTTTATAAATTGAATATCCAGGTATACTTTGGATAATGCATATTTAATATTAAATTTTTTATAATTTTTAATGTGAAATTTGGACTATTCAGACAGGTGAACATACTTATTAAATTTTTTTACAATTTATATAAATTTTTATTTTAATACATATAAAATAAAAAACATTAAATTTAGATAATCTAGATATAGGCATCCCCCTCAAGGGAGGTCAGAAGGAGGCTTCCCTCAGCAAAGGAAAGCTGACTCCTTTGAAGTAATGTGTAACATCTATCCTTGTGATCCTACCTCTTAATGAAGGAGGTTAAAGGATCAAATCGCCAAGTGATTAGATAGAATATTGAAAAAAATTTACATGAAGAGACCTGAAAACGCCATAGAAGATCCCCACATAAAATTTACATAAATATTATGGTTGCGGCCATTACTATCAAACTAATTAAACGGCTTGCAAATTACTATCAAAGAAGGGTTGGTGTTGGGCTGTTGGTTGATTGCGTGTCTTGCCTTAATATTCAGTTTGTTTTGTTTTGTTTTTGTTTTCCCCCTCGAGGTTGTTACTTTAGGCTTTGCTTGCTTTGTGCTAGTTTGCACTTAGGCATTACTTGCCTTTTTTTTAATAAATAAGTAAATTATTTATTAAACTTTATGTTAAGTAGTACTCCCTTTGTTCCAAATTATTGACCATTTTTGAAGGAGTTTTTCCGTTTTAAATTAAAAAATATTTTGGGTAAATTAAAGTTTTATTAAATGCACTAGTTTCAATATTATTCTTTCTCTTTCTATAATTAATTTCCGTCCCTTCTCTTTTCAATCTATTAAATGATGGTATTTTTGAAAGTTTATATTTTTATTTTGAAAAGATAATATTGTTAGGTGTATTTAATGAGATTTATTGGTATATAAAATTTTACCTAAAAGTGTCTTATAGTTTGGGACGAAAAGAATATTATAAACTTTGAATTTATTTATTGTGCAAATTTTTTCCTCAATTTTTTAAAAATGGTGCAATATGGCCCCTTCAATTAATAAAAGTTAACTTTAATCATTGCTTGATTAGAAGTTGATAGAAGGACCTCAAAACTACAAAAAAAAGGTCAAGAAATTATTAAAAATAAGTAAAAATTATAAACAAGGACCAACATTTTTTAGTACTTTTTTGTAATTTTTGATGTCATTATTTAGTTAATTAACAATTATAGTTAACTTTTATTAACAGTAGGAGTTAAATTGCATCGTTTTAAAAAGTTAAGAAAACAATTTATATAATAAATGAGTTTATGGTCTATGATTTTACTGGATCTAAAGTTCATGAAGTAATTTGCTGTTTATCCTTCATTTTTCTGTTTTTATTAATGTGTAGTTTTTTTCTTAAATTAATAAGAAGGGCTCTTTTTTGTTTAAAAAAAATTAATTAAGCAGTGGAGCGTTGTATCAGTATATCAGGGTCAGGGACGCCCAATAATGAATGGACATAATTTCCTTGGATATATCAATCAGTATCATATGAAAGAGAATTTATTTCAAATTAATCATTGCTATAAAATATAAAAACTCTACCTTGACATGCTGGTAAATAATGCAGCTCATTTTTGTATTGCAAATATTACTCCCTCCATCACAAGTTATAAGACATTTTAGATAAAATTTTACATATCAATAAACTTCATTAAATACACTTAACAATCTTATCTTTTCAAAATAAAAATATAAACTTTATAAAATGCCCATCATTTAATATATTAAAAAGAAAAGTGACATAAATTAATTTTAGAGAGAGATGGGGTAATATTAAAATTGGTGCATTTAATGAAACCTTAACCTACTCAAAGTATTTTATATTTTGTGAAGGAGAAACTTGTTCAAAAGTACCTCATAATTTGGAATGAAAAGGGTATATTATTATATGGGGGTTGTTCATAACTCCTATAACACCTAGGATTTTTTTATAATTGTGATTAAAAGGGGAGAAATATTTGGTGTGTGATATTGTTGTGTGGCGTGTGTTGTGTAAGCGTGTATTATATTGAAATGCGAATGTGTGTGGGATCCCTACTTTTTCATCACTTATTTTGCACGTAGTATTGTTTGTTTGAAATTCTTCTCCCCAAAAACTGTATCAACCAAAAAAAAAAATTAACATAACATTATTAGTTAGCCAAAGCCGCCTTAGGAGGCGATCGAAATTAACTAAAATATATATATGTAAGTGAAATATGCAAGCAGGCAGATATGGTTTCAAGTTTCAACATTATTCTTCACCTACAACAATAGTCCATCTGCAACTTGTTTAATGGAATGACAAAATGTCACCATTACCAATCTGATTGGCAAAAATTATAACAAAATATAGGAGAAAATATGACATTTAAATGGATCCATATTAATGTTAGGCCCATTTCGTGACAGAAATATCAACCAATGGAAAGAGAATCGTACTAGTGTAGGTGAGAGAAATTATTTACGTGGGTTCTATCAAGCTTTTTATGTGGCTTAAAGAAGAGACATATATTAAAGGCGTACGCTACCCATTACCTACATTGATTACATTAATAAAAAAAGAAAATGAGCGAATGAGCGAATTCAAAAGGACCTGAAAGACAATAACCACCCTTTGAAGTTAGGACTCGGCTTCCCTGAAAGAAACTTTCCCCGCACCTCCAATAAGGCAAGTTTATATTTAAATTGTTTAAAGTATATTTGAATGGTCTGAATTTAATATTTTTTATTTTTTATTTTTCATTTTTTAAAATAGAATTTTATAATAAATTGTTGAAAAAATCTAATAAATTTGTTCAGCAGTCTGAATAGTTCATATTTAATATCAATGGTCCACATTTAATATTTAAATTTTTATAAATTCACTATGTAGATATACTCTGAATAATGCAAATTTAATATTAACTATGGACTGGTAAACATATTTATTAAATTTTTTTACATTTTACATAAATTTTTATTTAATAAATTAAAAATAAAGAATACAGTAATTTAGACAGCCTAAATATAGGCACCCCCTCAAAGAAGATGCGAAGGAGGCTTCTCCCAACCAAGGAAAGCCAAGTCCTTTGAAGTAGTGCGTAATACCCATCCTAAGGCAACAAGAAACATGCAACTAATGGAAAGAGAACGGTACTATTGAAGGTGAGACCAACAATTTAAGTTGGTTCTATGAAGTTTTTACGTCACTTATAAAGAAGAGACATACATTAAAGGGTAGTAGTATATTTAGGCAAAATCATAATTATATTAATGACTTGCGAAAATCAGTATCATTCAGATCATAAAATGTTGAAATTGAAAATTTCAAAATTAGGTAAGATCTGCAATCAACCAACAGTCCAACACCAATCCTCCTTTGAACATTTGCAAGTGACGTTTAATTAATTTGATTGTGACTGAAACACCCATTTCACCGGTGCACCCCGCAACAATATTTTTGTATCCATTAGCACAAAACATGATATATACATCTATCTACATGATGTTATAGTAACAATTAATAACATGATTGATATATAAGTATCTGTTTGTTTTGTTTTAATTTTCTCCCATTAATTAAACCTAACACGCGACATAATTCACACTTCCAGTGGTGCACCAGAGTGGGAACGCGAGAGTTTGCAAATCAGTGAGAAATTTAGAGTTTAGGTTCAATCATATATTTTATGGGTGATCTAAAGAATTTTAAGGCCGAGCGTGCAAGATAACATAATTTAAAAACTAAAAACTTAAAAATAATATTATAATTGTTTTAAAATAAGTACATTATGCTAAAAATATAACAGCATAAATAAAATTATACATATTTTTATTTGGAAAAAAATATGTTGAGGTTTTTTGGCTAATTGACACAGTTTACATTTGGATAATAAGAAAACTATCACACAAAAGGATAACTTAATATGTGGTTGAATTTTATTATAAAATAGACACAACTCTTTGATCAAGTTGTTTTTTTTCAATAATATGTCTAATGGGTTTAAATTTTCACTTATTTGAATTTACCGGATATGATTTAAAATGTCATATATCTAAAAAAATTTTGAACCCATAAATGATTTTTTATTGAGTCTAAAAGGTTCAAATTAAAATACAAAAATAAAGTGTCCGAGGTTATAATTTTTACACGCTACATGTGTAATGTTCTCTATTTGAGGGGTACATTTCCCACCCACATCAACGTGTCTCTGCCGTTGCCTTTAGATTTGATTCATTCTAATTTATGTGGTCCAGCACCTGTCACCACAGTCATGAGATATGAGTTATATATGTTTCATGGATGATCATAGTAGATATGTATGGGGTTACCATTTAAAATTTATATCTAAAGACATTAGTGGCTTTAAGCACTTTAAGAACATGGGTGAGAACTTGGTTTGATAAGACAATCAAAACTCTATAGTGATTTTGATGAGGAATACAGAGGCTTTATTCCTATTCTTAATGAAGCTGGAATTTCTTCTCAACACACATGTCCCTATACCTCTCAACAAAATGGTAGAGTTGAGAGAAAACATATAGACACATTGTTAAGGTGGGTTTAGATTACTTGCTCAAGCTAATATGCCTTTGAAATATTGGTGGAATGCCTCTGCCTGTGCACGTCACATTATAAATTGTTTAACAATAGTGCTAAACTTAATTAGAGACTCTTTATGAGTGCTTGTTTAAAAGGAAATTGAGCCAGCTGATTATTCAATGCTTAAGACATTTGGCTACGCTCCTGCTATCCCTGTCTGCACTCTTAAAATAAACACAAATTATAGTTCAGAAGTCAAAATTGTGTTCCTGGGCTAGAGCACCTCTCACAAGGTTATAATTAGTGCTTGAATTCAAATGGAAGAATTTAGGAAAAATCACAACCAGGGACCCCCATAAAAACATTAATAATAACAGACAATGGTCCTTGCTTGCAATTTAAAAATCCTAAATTATTAAAATCCTAATAACAAACAATGGTTCTTACTTGCAATTTAAAAAATGCAAATAGTCAATTGAATAATCTACAAAATACACTTAAGATTATTTTTAACATCATTAAGGAATTTACAAGAGTAAATTGTGAATCTCAATCTTTTCCTATCAATATACAAATAAATCACTTGAGATATCAAATAAATATACTTGAAATTATTTGTAACATTAATTGAGAATTTATAAGAATTAGTTGTAAATTGCAAGCCAATCACTTATTTTTTGGCCATCAATATATAGATAAATTGTTTGAAAAATTTACTAAATATGCTTGAGATTATTTATAATGTGAGTTGAAAATTTACAAGAGTCAGTTTGTGAATTACAAGCCTATCACTTGTGATTTTTTGTTATTACTTGGCAAATCAACAAAAGATAGTTGGGAATCCTTGTAGCATTAGTTGGGAATT